GATTGACATATTCCAAGTGGGTGTTGTTTTCTTTGTACAGTTTTCTAATTCTTCTATGACTGAGCAATACTTTCTCAATGAGGAACATAATCTCATTTTAAAAGAAATAATCCAGTGTAACTCCTATATAGGCCAGGGAACTGGGATAGCAGAGTCTCTCTGGATAGTAGGAAACAGAAACCCAATCAACTACTATTACAGAAAAAAAATTTTTTTAAACTTCATCTCTATTTGAAAGCTCCATACTATCTTTAAAGATATATTGCAAGGATAAACTCAAAGGGCCACTCATCTTATAGTCAGGACATTATTTTAATAATTGAGTATGCATTCCTCAGTCATAAAAGTCTCAGAGACAGAGTTTTAGTAGTTGATTATGTCAAATGTTTGCCTGTGTTAGGTTTCTTGATGTTGCTATTATTGCCTTTTGGGCCAGATAGTTCTTTGTTGTGGAGGCCTTGCTTGTGCATGTTTCCTATAATCCCTGACCTCTACTCATTATATGCCAACAACACCCCCTTCCTAGTTGTGACAACCAAAAATGACTCTGGACATTGACAAATGTGTCCTGAGAGCAAAATTAAACCCAGATGGGAACCACCTGCCTAGGTGATGCTTAATACTGTAGATGACAGAGAGCTCACCATAACTAGGAGCAGTCTCTTCCAACTATTCAACTTTTATGTTAGAAAGTTCAAATGCTGGTTGGCCATCCATTCCCCTGCAGTCTTCCCTTGCAGCAATAGACAGCAAATTTAATCTGCTTTGCCTATGATGGGTCTGAAGTAATTTTATGACACTGCCATGCTGGGTTCCCTAGTCACCCACCTCTACTCATTCTCAAGTCTTCTCTCTCCCAAGTTAAACCATTTCCTCCTTCAACTGTTTCTCAAATGACATGTTGGGTCCTACCTATATTAGGGCTGTCCTCTGACCTTGTTCCTGTTTGTCCATATCTTCATGACAGTGCTATGTACTCCACTAAGCACATTTTTACAGGTGCTTGGATCTCCCCACCCTAACATCTTGGTTCTAGGGTCCACACTTATCCCTTAGGCCTACACTTAACCCTTTCAAATTTCTGAAGTTCATAAGAAACTGGTAAGCTTGCTTGTCTGAGGACAGCAGGGAGGCTGGGCCATGAAAGGCAAGAGAAATTGACCATTCATTGTATATGTTTGCTTAAACTTTGCACCATGCACATATATTACCTGGTCACAACAAACAATCCAGCAAATAAATACATTAAAATTGTTTCACCTGATGATATTCACCCAATCCTCCCAGCCTATCCTGATCCATTTGGAAATTTATGTCTTCCAACAACCTCATTTACTCTACAAATATAATAAGCATTGCCTTCAAAATCTTTGGTGAAAGCCACTAATACGGATAGGTGGAAAAAGACAAGCCTAGGCTCATCAAGGCACTAAATCAAGACACTAAATGTGCAGTTTTCTAGTTGGCACCCCACAAACCCACTAACTTCCTTCCTTTACCTGGTGGCTATTACCTAACTGGTTTTCCTAAACAGAAGTCCCATTGATGAGTCCTCTTTCTTTATGGGGAGTCTATCATAACTGCAGTGCAAGATGAAAGACATGCCATTGCCCGAAAAGTACTTCTAGACTCAACTGCAACTCGCCACCTACCCTGAAGAATTAAACTCCTTGGCAAAACCCACAACAGAGCTGCCCTGGCCTCTCACAGGAAGGAATGGGTTGGTTACTTTTTTTAAAATTTTTTTAGTTGTTGAACTTTTATTTTATTTATTTACATGTGGTGCTGGGAATCAAACCCAGTGCCTCACACATGTACGAAGCAAGTGCTCTTCCATTGAGCCACAACTCCGGCCTCAAATTGGGTACTTGAAGGGGGCAAATACAAGCAGTGGTATCAAGGTTTGTTAAGTGGCTTCATTTATTTTAAGAAAGCATCTAGCAGTCCTGAAATGGCAGCAAGAATTGCACACACAATGATAAAGGCAAATTTAATGATTTATTCATACAATAATTTATGCTGCACTTAACACAAATATGAGTGTACATTTTTCAATAGTGTGGAAGAGATGAATTCATTAAAAAAGTTAATGAGTTTTGAATATAAATCACCTGCAAAAGTTTCTTTCAGAAACACACAAAGAACAACTATAAATTGGGCAATGGTTTTGTAAATGCCAGCTTCAAGCCTGCTCCAAATCCTCTAACCCATATAAATCACTGTCCCTGACTTTTACAGAGGGAAAAACAAAAGTGGGTAATGCCTGGCCTTTGCTTCTCTCTTTGGCCAAGGCTTAAATCTTGCTTTTGATCAGGTGATGAATACTCTGCTCTTCCTTATCAGCAGTGGGGCTCCTTCTGTCTGGAAGTCAACCTAAACCACTTTTTGTTTTCTCCAGCCTAGACTCAACCCCCATCAGCAGACTAGGGAAATCACCTAGAATTCAGATTCAAATAAGAGCATCCTTTGATCATGTCATGGGAGACAGTGATTTGGAAGACATAGAATGATAATTGGGAAACTCTGATCACAAAGAAAACTCTTAAGGGTGGGCTCTCTATCACATCAGATGGCCTTTATTTTATTAATCATTGAGCAGAAGTGGCATATGCTCCATCCTGCAAGCAAGGAGATGGATAGGGATGCCAGCTGGAAAGTATCATGTGGAAAGGCAAGATCCAAACAAAAGCAATGATGGTGACTCTATGAGTCATCTGAGGGCATCAACTATGTCATCCCTCTGGGCTTCAAAGTCTCATATGCAGAAGAGAGAAACTTCCCAGAGGAATCAAGAGGCCCCCAATCACAGTGGTGAATGAGGGAACTAGGCTAGATCAACCACAGAGACAGTGGGCTACGTCAAAGGCCAAAAAGACCTTGGAGAAGCCAAGGGAGAATCTAGGCTCTATTTTTTAAACTTTTTTTTATTATTAGTTGTTCAAAACATTACAAAGCTCTTGACATATCATATTTCATACATTTGATTCAAGCAGATTATGAACTCCCATTTTTACCCTGTATACAGATTGCAGAATCACATCGGTTCCACATCTACTTTTTTACATACTGCCATACTAGTGTCTGTTGTATTCTGCTGCCCTTCCTATCCTCTACTACTCCCCTCCCCTCCCCTCCCCTCTTCTCTCTTTACCCCATCTACTGTAATTTATTTCTCTCCCTTGATTTTTCCCCTTTCCCCTCACTTCCTCTTATATGTAATTTTGTATAACAATGAGGGTCTCCTTCCTTTACCATGCAATTTCCCTTCTCTCTCTCTTTCCCTCCCGCCTCTCAACCCTGTTTAATGGTGATCTTCTTCTCATGCTCTTCCTCCCTATTCTGTTCTTAGTTGCTGTCCTTATATCAAAGATGACATTTGGCATTTGTTTTTTAGGGATTGGCTAGCTTCACTTAGCATAATCTGCTCTAATGCCATCCATTTCCCTGCAAATTCCATGATTTTGTCATTTGGCTCTATTTTATTCCCAGATCCCAGACCATAATTCAAGACTTTTCAAGTGCTGGACACACTGGTACACAACTGTGATCCCAGCAACTGGGGAGGATGAGTGAAGCAGGAGGATTTCAAGTTTGAGGCCAGCCTTAGCAACTTAGTGAGACCCTGTCTCAAAATAAAAAATAAACAAAAAAGGGCTGTGGATATAGCTTAGTGGTAGAGTACCCCTGGGTTTCAACTCCCAGTACCAAAAAATACTTAAATAAATAGGAGAATCCTCCAAAGAATTACAACCTGCAGGATGGATTTGGGGGTAGAAAGAGTTGGGCACACTTTTGAGAATTCATAACCAAAGCCCTTCACATAGCAAAGATATGATTGGCTTGAACACCTGACAGGCAGCAGAAAGTTTTGGTCAAGGGTGGGAAAGAGACTTCCCCTTGCCACTCCCCAGAGAAACTTAAATGATACTTGTATACCCGTGTAGATAGCAGCATTACATGTTTAACACCCAAAAAGTGGAAACAACCAAGGTATTCATCGATGGATGAATGGAGAGACAAAAATGTGGCTTATGCATACAATGGAATATTATTTAGCTTTAAAAGGGAAGGAAATTGACACATGCTACAACATGGATGAACTTTGAGGACACTATGCTAACTTCAGTAAGTCAGTCACACAATGACAAATACTGTATGACTACATTCATATAATGTATTTAGAGTAGTCAAATCTAGAGACAGTAAGTAGAGTGGTAGTTACTAGGAGCTGGAGAGAAGTGAAAATGGATAGAGTTCATATTTAATAGGAAAGTTTCAGTTTTATAAGAAGAAAAGATTTATGTATATGGACAGTGGCAATAGTGCCATTATGATGTGAAAGCACTTAACACCACTGAACTACATCATTAAAAATAGTTAAGATGAGCCAGGTGTAGTGGTGCATGCCTGCAATCCCAGCAACCTGGGGAATTTCAAATTTGAGGCCAGCCTTAGCAAATTAGAAAAACTCTCAGCAATATAGCAAAACCCTATCTCAAAATCTAAAATAAAAAAAAAAAGACTGGGGATTTAGCTCAGGAGTACAGTGCCCCTAGGTTCAATACCCAGTAAATAAAAAAGCACAAAAATGGTTTAAGTGGCAAATTTTATGTTTATGTAGGTATTTTGCCACAATTTTAAATACATATTAAAATGTTTATAGTTCAGTAAAAAAGATTAATGTAAGGATGTGTTAACAATAATAACTGTCTGCTATTATTAAAAACCATTCTAATGTTAGATCACAAAAGATAGAGATTATATGTGGTAGATTTCAGCTATGTAAAGATGAAATGTCTGTATCTGTGCATATGCAGGTAGGCAGGAAAAGAAGTGTAAGGAAATACAAATGTCAACAACAGTAGCCATATTCTGAAGGAGTGGTCTTTTTTCCATCTTTGCTATTTTTCACAGTTTTCAAGTTTCACACAATGAGCATACATTACTCTTATAATGGAGTGAAGAAACAGGGTTAAGTACAAAACCAAACCACAAAAAAATCAAGGAAAAATGACTATTTATTCACTCCAGATTGGGAAGGGGTCTCCGTATTCAATAGGAAAAATATCACACAGGAAAATATTGATTTATTCACTTACTTTAAAAAGTAAAATTGATAAATAAAATTGAAAGGAAAATTCATATAGCAGCAAATGCCAAGTGTCGAACAATCATACAGAGTGAACAATGATAAAGGTGTCACCAATAAAGAATTAAAAGATAAAACAGGATATCACTTTCACTTTCACCTATTATTGTAATAGTGCTTTTTTGCTGTATGTTTTTTATTTGCATGCTTGCTGACTCTATTTTTAACTTTAGTACCCTAAGGTAGCGAAAGAGTTAGGAAAGGAGAACATAGGTTTGTTTTTTGACAATTTGGCACTGAGAGACTCTCCTAAGGGAATAATTTGAAATACATAGAAATTCTTTATTCACTAAGTTGATCATCACAGCATTATTTATAATACTGAAAATCTGTATATAACCTAGGTTTCCAACAATTGAAAGAAGATTAAATTACAATAAAACTACACAATAAAATATATTACCAGCAATACAAAGTATCTTTGCAAAAATCTGTAATAACCACACATACTAGTTAGTGGAAAAGTAAGAACATAAATTTCATGATTAAGAACATAGTGTACTCACAGCAATGTGAAAAATTCATACCCCCAAAAAGACAAGATATTAAGTGATTATTTAAGATAAAACATACTTTTTTTCACCTTTTACTACATTTCTGTTTTCTGAATTTTTTTTATAATTAACACTTCAATTTGTAATTAGAAAAAAACACACTTTTTAAAGTAAGGTGAACAGAAGACCTTTCAGGGGTGTTCATTTCATCCCAAAACACACTAGAGATCCACAAAAGCTTCAGCCTCTTGGTAGGGGCACAGGAGCCAGGCTGTGAAAAATGGCTATGAGTGGGTAGGTGAAGAGAGGATGGGCCACAGCTAGGAGGGGGAGGCAGGGACTGGCAAGGGAAAGTCAGCCAAGGGCAGGGGCATCGTGGAGCCAGGGAAGACTCTGACTGCTCAGCGGAGGTCTGTCTAGACCCATAGTAGGCACTGACGGTGTTCTCAAAGGGCAGGGGCAAGAGGGATTTTAGGAAGACACATGGATTCCTTTAGGAAAAGGGGAGGAAAGAGGAGGGGAGGTAAACTACTTGGGAAAGAGGGGAGAAGGACTGAGGCAATGGTGATGGAAGTGGAGAGGAAGAGACCACTGTGAACTCACTACTTACTCTACGCCTAAACCAAACATACTTTGCTCACCTCCTGACAAGTCTTTGTGGGAAAGTTTAGGATAAAGAAATTTCTCGCAGGAGTAACTCACCAACAGCCAGCAATCCAGCTCAAATCTAGAGATAATCCAGGACAGCTCTGTTCAACTGAACCTTCAGCCATGATGGAAATGCTCTAGATCTGTGGTTAGCAAGCACTTGAAATATGGTATGGCTGGGAATCTTCTTTTTAACTTTTATTTCATTTAAATTAAATTATATTTAAATAGCCACATATGCCTAGTGGCTACCAAGTGGACAGCACAGTTCAGCTTAGGACTCATCAAGAGGAGAATTTGGAGATTTTTTATACTAAAACTGGGCTTCAGGAAATCAGTAAGAAAAATGAAACATACATATTGTAGCCAACCAGGAGCTACAAATGGATATGAAATGAGAACCTAAATTAAAACTTATCATGATAACTGTAAAGTAGGAGATAGAGCTAAATACACTGCAAATATGTCAAGAGGATTTCTAGACTATATCATAAAAGTTAGTACACACGAAGAGAGCAATAAAAAAGACAAATAATGAGAAAGAAAAAGCTGAGGCAAACCATCTACAAAAGCTGAAGCTTCCAAAGGAGAGTGAAATTCTGGAATTGGGAGAGATAAATAGAACCCTTTACTCCTTAAATAAAAATTGTTGCCTAAGTCACTCAACTGCATAGAAGATCACTATGTTATATACATTTCTATCATAAGCTAATTAGTTAAAAATGCCTTTAAAATTTCAATAATTTTAATATAATATCTTGTCATTTTGGTCACAATTCAATGCACCACAGTAACTTAATCTAATTTGCTATATTTTATTTCACATTTACCTTGAAACACTGAGTGAGCCATTTGTAAAGAGAAAATTACTAAAATTACTCATTTTGATACAAGACAGACTATTTTAGATATTTACTGAGAAAGATGTTGTTTTGATGATTTCTGATATTTGATCAGCCTCATAATGTTATAAATACAACTTGTAAATATTCTATTCAAGATAATATGGACTAAGCTTAACTATTACTTGCCTTTCTGGTTATTTTCTTATTTAGGAAATATGGAACTATATTCTGGGGGGAGTTGAAAATTACTATATACTAATGAAAAGTTTCTACAATCCTCAAAATAACTCAGAATTTAACAAAATTTAACAAATTTAAGAAAACTGCTGTTTCCTTTAATAAGTTATTAAACATAGAATGTTTCCTGCCACCTACATAAATGGACATCTATAATCAATTATACCTAAATAAGAACATTTAAATGAGTCCGAGTCAAACCATGGATGTAGTTTAAATATTTTCACTGTAACAAATTATTATTGGACTGAGAAAACATCTCAAAAGTTTTAACTTAATTTCCCATGAATTTTACATCTCTAATCTACTAAGCATTGTTTTTTATTTGATTTAAAAATAACACATTAATAACTTAATGCATATTTTGTCTTTGGAATTTGAAACCTTGTGGTCTTAGAAAATTGAAAATAGACTTTAAGGTACTGGCTTCTAGAATAAGTATTTAACTTTATAATTGAGAAAGAAATGTGAATTGGATATTAAAATAAATATATTTTTAATATACTGGTAAACCTAAGATATGTTATTAAAGTATAAAAATCAGGAATTTAGAGTAGAACTTAATTTGATACATGGTTACTTTTTGAAATGTACTAAATTCCACAAATAATTATTTCTTGATTATATATATGTTACTATTTGGTTAGTATGGCCTTGGTATAAAAAAGTATGATATAATTTTGGTTTGTTCATTTTGTACTTATTAAATGACTACACTATGGACTTTTTAAACAAGAGAAAAAGGCTCAGCCCAGCCCCAACCTAATTAACAATTACAAATTAATAAAGACTAAATGAAAAGGATTGGCTGTCACATCCTCTTGGGCCAAATGATTGATGCATGTTTTGATTACCTCATACTCTGGTTCTTTCCAATTTTATGGGTAATGACAAAATAACAACCTCTAATGCCTCCTCTCACCAGCTCAAAAGGAGCATGTTACATTTGCCCTCCATTGTGGCAAAACTCAAGGCATCAATGATTGAGCAAGTTCTCCATGTTGGGAGTCATTATATATATTGTGATCCTCTAATGGATCAGAATCCACAAAATACAGTTCCCCTGCATGGATATCAGAAAAATTAGCCATAAATTCATCAGGATTGAAGCCAACCCATATAGTATACCTATAGTCTATGGTACGTATGGAGTAGCCCATGATCTTTATATCTTTTAAACTTGGCTTGTCAGAATTCCACTGAGGGGAATCTGCAGGCCGGGGGTACTGGCTATAAGCAATCAACTCACGGGGGTTACTGTGGAGATATGGATCATTTTCTACATCATGGAATTGAAAATGCTTCAGAAGGTTCTGGCCTTCTCTACATAGCTCAACATGAAATGAAGGAACAGGGCAATGAGGCGGAACCTGTAGTCCTGCAAGTGCAGCCAGCGTGGGGAAGAGAGACACAAGTTCCACAAGGTCCGTGGTTTGCCTGCCTGAAACAGAAAATGACACAGCTGAATTTGTTACATTATAGAAGCCTGCCACACCAGACTGGATGAGTTAAGGAACCTGTCTAGACTCCACATGTTTTCTATTTGCTTGTATGTTTGTTTTCAACATTTATTTTTAGCAAAAGAAGTGTAGAAACACCACCAACTCAGCACCTCACCCTCCACTACATACTCATCCAATAAAACATCAAGATGCAAAATTGGTCCTCAGCCTATTGGCACTTTAGAAAACTATCTGACTTTGAAACCACTAGTGTAATAACTGGATTCTGGCCAGCTTCATCAATTTAAGCTCTAACTATTGGGTAAAAGTTTATGATGGAATAGAATATTTCAAGTTTCACAATGGCACCCCACAGATTGCCCTTTTCTGGATGACTTTTTGATCCATCCTTCCTTTTTTTCCCATCTTTTCTTTTAATATGGTAAAGTACACAAAACATGAAGTTTATTATCATATCTACTTTTTAGTGGACAGTTCAGAGACAATAAGTATATTCATATTGATGCATCATGATCACCACCATCATCTCCAAAATTTCTTTCATTTTACACATCAGAAACTCGTCTCCACTGAACAGCAGCTCCCCATTTCTCCACCCCCAGAAACTTGTGACCCTCATTCTACTTTCTATCTCTGTGAATTTCTCTACTCTAAATATTGCATATTAGTGGGATCATATAGTATTTTCTCCCTTGTGTCTGGATTATTTCACTTTAAGAATAATGTCCTCAAGGTTCATCCATGCTCTAGCATATGTTGGAATTTCCTTCATTCTCAAAGCTAAATAATATTTCACTGAAGGTATAATACCACATTGTGTATGTCCACCCATTTGTCAATGGACACAGGTTTCTCCCATTTTTGGGATATTTTGAATAGTGCTGCTATGAATACTCTTGTCCAAATTTTTATTTGAATACCTGTGTTCAATTGTGCAGTATATATATTTAGGTGTGGAACTGCTCAGTCATATGGTAATTCTGTTTAACTTTTTGAGGACCTTCCAGTCTGTTATCCACAGCAGCTATACCATTTACATTTTTTGCTGCTAATACACAAGTGTTCCAATTTCTCAACATCCTCACCAATGTCTGGTGTTTTATATTTTTTATTATTATTCTCAATGGCAATCCAAAAACATGAGAAGGTATTACATCCACCTTTAAAATTTAAATCCTACACTTATCTTTACATCTTACATTGATTCCTGTTAAAACTGATCTTGGTTTGTACTATCATTCTGGCATTTTGGATAGTTAAGAGATTGTTTAATAATACCTAATTTCATTTTCTAGATACTTGCTTTGTATGTAAAATAAAAAGAAAAAAGAAGTTTTTTAAAAAGATACTTTACAATGGCAAAATTTGGCTGCTGCTACCATCACCTTAAGCAAGTGACCAAAGTGAGCATCACTAACAATGGCACAAGTTGCCATAAGATTCCCCTCACTGTGATAACAGAATTCAACATCACATGTATATAGTACTCTGATAAAAAATATTCACTATGAGAAAACAAAGAGACAAATCTAGTGTGTGGGACACTGTACAGGACAAACTGCCCTGGATGCTTGTCAAAAAGGGAGGAATCAGATCACTAAAATCCTTGTCAGCAATTGTGAGGACATGTACTTGTGAGATGAGAGCACAGGAGGCTCCTGAGTAGGTCTGTAGCAAGACTTGCTGTGAAATTTTTTTTTTGGTGGTAGGAATGGAATCCAGGATCCAGGGACTCATTGCATGCAAAGCAAGAGTCCTACCACTGAGCTACAGCCCCATCCCCTGTCTTGAGTTTGAAAGGGATCACTTAGGGTGTTCTGAGAAGGAAACACTCTAGAGTATCAATAGCACAGGGAAGGAGACCCTTCAGCAAGCAGCTGCTGGTGGCAGAGGAGATGGTGAGAAACAGAAAGGAACAGATTCTGAATGAAGAGTGGTGGGCTTGCTGACGGACTGCAGATCACATATGGAATATGAGAGAAAGAAAGATTAAGAAGATTCTGTAATTTTTGTGGTCATTTCCTGAAAAGAATGTCAAAGGCAAGGCTTAAGGTGAAAGAGCTAGATGTTCAACTCCAGGGATAAAAGACTAGCCAAGTAGAACAGGCTATTGGACATGAAATTTATAGTTCAGAGAAAAGATACAGGTTAGTGATAAAATCTAGAGATAAGATGGATGATAGCACATTTGTACATGAAATTACAACTTGGTGATTATCTCCCAACAAAGGTTTCAAGAAAGAGTCTTACCTGTAAGAATATTTCTCCCAGCAAACAAAGGGCTAAAGTCGTAACTGGAAATTGTTTAACCTTTCAGTGAAGGGAAAAAAGATAGAGTATGCATTGCCCAAAAATTAAGTGTGCAGGAAATAAAATCAGGCAGTATAATTAGTAAACTCCACAGTCCAGAAAGGCCAGAATAATGAATCCCAAGATAAATTGAAATAGGAATCAATATAAAGTACAAGGCTTAGATGCTAAAGATGGATTAAATATGTAAGTCCCAAAATGGGGAGCCTGGCTTAGCACAGTTTATGAAAAAAAAAACACTCCAAAAAGAGCATATAAGACTAGCATGGCATCTGAAGTGCATGATTTACCTCTGAAATGCACCAGGTAGATTAAGTCATGATAAAACGCACAGGAACGAACCCACACAAATCACCCCATATGGGCAGAAAGGATATCTGGTTTCAAAGCTTTGAAGAACTGGCACTTAAAAGCCGAAGTCAGCTTGCCCTTCACTATTGCGTGACACAAAGCAGAATCACCCAGTAAATTTTACAGATCCAATGGTTAACTAGGTCAATGAGCTGCCAAAAGGGAAAATACTCCCTTTAAAAAGGGCCGAGTCCACGACAAACGTATACAGGTTAAGGATACCACTGATCTGTTTGGGGGACAGCCCCTTCTATGCTCTGTAGCATGCTGTTGCCACCTTAAAACAGCCCTCCCTACCTTGGGAGGGCTACTGCTCCTTTGCCCTACCTCCTTCCAAGGCCCCTCATGGACAGAAGCCATACTTTTCAGTTCTGGCTCTACCAATCCTCCCTTACCCACAGCATGAGAGATGTTCAGGAACCACATGCAGACTAAACAATATTGAGAAGGAATTCTAACATACACCAGAAGTGGGGACTATGTGAGCCTACAGCCTATAATTCAATGAGGTGGTTCACATGTAAACTAAAGGCACTCTTAGCTAGGCAATATCACTCCTGTATATACTATACCTGGCTCTATCAGCTCTGTGGTGGAATCAAAAGGATCAAGGTAAGGGAAAAACTTCTCTCCTGCCTTTGGTAGCAAAGCTGTCCTTCCAGGAACGTAGAACATCAGGGGCACACGAGTAGTGACGTCAAAATTGCTGTATTTGGCCCATTCTCCATGTTCACCAAGGGCCCACCCTGGATCATAAAAAGCACAGAATGACAGGAAATTAATAATCAGATCAAAACTTATATACTTTAGCCATCATTTCAATTCCTGTTGTAAAGGCCAAAAGAACTAAAACCTCATCACCTCAAGGAAATTCCTCTAGAATTACCACAAAAAAGATGATTTCACCTGATGCTGCTTTATTCAAAGTCAAACATACATCCTCAATGATGAAACATTTAAAAAGGAAAAATATATATTAAATTCCCAAGGTAAAATATCTTATTTTAATCAGGAATTAACAAATACACTCATATTGGGCTTTGCAGAACCAGTGGGCCCCAAGAAGACAAGTCCCAACTGCCAAGACAGGCTTTTTTTTTTTTTTAATGCTAAGGATGGAACACAGGGCCTCATGTGCTCTATTGATCAGCTACATCATTAGCAGTTCATTCTTCACTATATGGAGACCCTGAAAGACAGAGTGTCACCATTTCCCTGTCCTATGTTCATCTATCTCTTGACTCATAACCCCAGAAACTCAGGTTTACACATCTGGGAGGTGCAAAATGTGAGGCTATGGTACTGTGGCATAAGACAAGGATACCTTGCAGATTTCTTAAGACATACCATATGTGAAGAAAAGCAAACCTTTAGTTTTGAATCCTTAACCCTGATTAAAAAGCATTCTTAAAACTTATTTAAAATACCCTTGTAGAAAATAGTTTACATATTCCAAGTTGGAAATTCCCTATCTTTTTAATATAAAACTTTTTTGTACTATCTTTTTTGATACAAAAACTGTTCATGATATAGACTGTTCATGAAGTATTTACAAAACAACCAAAGACACTGAAAGTGGCTATGAGTGGATTCAATAAAGCATTGGAATGATTCTGTATTTTATCCATCATAGCTATATCTGCTAAACTTTCCCAGAGGATGGTACAGAGTCCAGCACAAAAACTCACTGACTCAATCTACAGATGATATTGGGGCTACAAATTACAGAATAGGGCTGGAATATGTTCTGAGTCAACAGTGCTCTCCTAGAAAACCCAGAATTGAAAAGAACCTTTCATGTATCAGTAATCAAAGCAGACTTCATGTCTGTTATAAATGCTCAAGGTTTCTAAGCATGTAAGATAGTTGGAGGATTGGCCTGCTCTCCCTCCTTCTCTCTGGCCAACAGTGCTGAGGTTAGGTAGGGATTTTCAAGCACTCTAAAGGAGGTCAATGAGAATCAGTTTCCATGGTCCATGAGCTCAGTGAGCTGGGTGAGGGCCAGCGCTATACCTCCACATGTCCACTTTCTCTAGGAAGACAAGGTAGCCTTGACCCATGAGGCCTGGTGACTTGGTCAGTTATCAGCAGGCTCCTAGGACACCAACTTGCAGGTTATATTGGCAGAAACTTAAGAATATGAGGTCCAAGAAGCCTTTGGGACAGGAAAGTGAGGGGGTCCCAGCAATGGGACCTCAGGAGTTACCTCCTTGAAGTCTAACTGGGGTACATACAGTAGTCCTAAAGGTACACCAGCCAAGTTCTCTGTGGCATCCCCAAATATGGCACTCAAAGCCCACAGGCCTATTGGCCATGATAGGCTGTCTAGCACCATGCATGGACAGCCCCCTAGCCCACCAAGCCCAGGGTCTGGTACTTGACAAATACTCAATGGATAGCTATGGACTGCCTAACTGCAAGAACACATTGCTCAGTCTTGTGCTGGGTTTCTTTCTGGTCTGCTATAGCCAGGAGCAAATATTTGAGAAAGGAGAACATAAGCCTGTGAGAGTCCCAAGGGTTCAGCTCGACACCAAGAAGAAGAAACTAAGGACCTTGAAAAGCAACTGAGAAGGCTTCTGGCTCTTTTCCCAGAAGCCTTGCATGAGAGCAAGGCAGTAAAAGCCAGCCCCAAAATTATGAGCTAGATGGGAGCCAGTTCATTCTCATGCTCAGACCTGCCAGTTCCTGATTAGATGTGCAGAAACCATCATGTTTTACCAGTTCTCTGGTGGTTCTGATGCAGTATATCCCAGGAAGGCACACTGAGGTGGGTTACTATAATCAACTGCAACTGCCTCAGAGCAAAGAGTATGTCTGAGTAAGCTAGACACTGAGAAGTGGGGTAAGAAGTGGATGACAGAGCATTAGGAATATGTGAACAATTATGGCATTTCTGTATATAATACAACACTAGAGACCTTTACAAAGGAAAAGTCAGGCCTGAGAGATGACAGGGAGAATTTTCTGTGACAAAGTTAAGTAGGAAAAATGTTTTAAAAAGTTCATATAACAGTAAACATAGTATAATCAACTATGTCTTATGATATGTTACATGTTACATACATACATATATCCCCATATATGTATGAGTACAAGGTACACATCGGAACTCCTGTTTAGTCCTGGGAAGGTAGCATAACAGGATAGGGCATTCTGGCCCTGTATTACATTCTTCGTGTCCTTTTTTCTTTATGAGAACATACTATGATTTACTACTGTATCATTGCATATTTGATGATATGGAAGAACCATCTTTCTTTTTCTACGTATGATAATGGTATTATGGTTACATTTAAAGAGGCAATGCTTTGTTTTTTAGAAATAGTGATTAGAAAACAGAACCATCTAGGATTTTTTCAAAAAATTCAGTGTTAGAAGGAGTGGGTAAGGAGGAGATGAACAAGACTGTCACTAGTAGAAAATGTGGAAGCTATTGTTTTATTTTCCACTCTTGGGCATGCTGAAAAATTTTCATATTAAAGAGCACATTTTTCAAATTAAAGAGCATTTCTATATTTGGAAAAAGTAGAAAACAACCTTAGGAGATATAAACAGTTGAGAAGCCTGGTCTCTTGATGGAAAGGGTAGTAGGGATGCGGTAAGACATATCAAAACCAGCCATATCTGAGGGCTTTGTTGGGTTCTGCCAAGACTGTTCTGGATTCTCTTCCACCCCCACCCCCCAACAAAAACCCTAAAAGTCCTCCAACCCTCAAGGTTAGCAATGGTGATTAGAAGAGCTTTCCCACAAATGGAAGGTTTTTGCTGAGTGCATAAAGCAAAAATTACTACAGGCCCCCCCCATACCTGCTTCCACTTCCAAGTATCAAAGATGGAGGTCCCAGGACTAATAATCTGATCATAAAGCACCCAAGAACCTGGACTCAGGCTACTGCAGATCCACACACACACACAAAAAGAACATGACCAGGTATATGGAATTTTAAAAAGCATGTTTCACAGGAAAGCTGAGATGCTTTGAGTGACTCATCAGGGCATTTCAAAATGCTTACCATGATCAGAGGTAAACACAATGATCGTATTGTTGGCCAGCTGAAGATCATCCAAAGTACTCAAAAGGTGGCCAACCTGTGTATCCAAATAGGAAACAGAGGCAAAATAGCTCTGGCGAATTTTCCGCTGCAAATAAAATAAACAAAAATAAATCAATAATGAAAGTGAGTGTAATTCTAATTGCTGTGGCATACACAGAGATAATATCCACCTGAGAATCTCTCTCAATCCCAATTCCTCTGTTGATGCTCTCATTTTAAAAAATAGCACTCCCTTTCCTACTTTCTGCATCCCCTCACCCACTGAGTCAACACGATCTGCAGGTCCAAAGATTCATTTCTAAGTGAACTAGCTTTCATTTTAGCACACAGATCATGGAAGATGGATGCCATTTACTACTCCTTTCTGTGTCCCTCACATATTCTGGTGAGTCCCAGGAGATCCATAAACTGGATGGCTTAAGAAAGCATAAATGGATTGGCTCCAAGCTCTGGAGGCTAGAAAGCTGATATCAAGGGGTAGAGAGGGCCATGTCTGCCTGAAAGTTCTAGAGGAGGATTAGGCCTCTTTCTAGTTCTGGTTCTAATTTCAGTGTATCTGCTAGGAGTCATAATTTAACCCACAACAACAGTCCTGAGTCAATGTTCTGACCACTTTCACACTCAGCAAGCGATGGCAATTGCTTATCTCTGTGCTATGACTTTCATGTGTTGCTCATTTCTCCAAAATTCTCATCAGGCAAGAGAAGAGCAACTGAAGAACAAGAAAGGAGCAGCCACAGTCCCTGAACCCAGGAGAAACTTTAGGGACAGCTATGTCATACCCTGAAGTAAAGGAGCCATCAGCCTCTCCTAGGCCAGCTCGCCTTCAGCTTTGTTAATAAGTGTTAATGAAAAAGATGAATCCCCCTTTGCCCCTCACCAAGGGGTAAGAAGCATGGGAGCTGCTGACTTATCAGATCAGCCACAGCCTCTTTTGCACATATGGTCCCTATTTTATTATCTGGACCTGTCAGCTTCTTGTCATTGCTAAGTTAGAACAGTCATGAGTCTTTCCCTAATCTCTACTTGTGATGAAGAGAACAGATACACATCTAGCCTTCCAGAAGAATTAATCTGAATCCTGACCTATTTATACATTCTAGTAGACAGTCTTCAGTCTGTAACTTGGAGAACTATAGTCCTCCTGGAGACCAGAGACACCAGTCAGGATGACTCTGCCCTATATAAGGGTATTCCCTCCTTCCTCTCCTGGTCCCTTGAGATTAGGCAATAAAAAAACCGGCATGGTTCTCAACTCTATTGAGCCATGTGACCAGTGAAAAATAATTACCCATAGATTATTGGTGGGGCCGAGGGCTGACCAAGGACAATGAGTGTTCAAGTGTGCTTGGAAAATTAGGGAAGGCTTCAGAGAGGATTTCACATTGCAGAAGAGTAGCTGCTATCAGACAAATGGGGGTAGGATGTTCTAAGCAGGGGCTGCGGGATGTGGAATCATGACAAAGCAGAGAATCCTAAGGGCTGAAGAATAATCTGGGAGGGCAGAGGGAGGCAAGTTACACTGAAAAAGTAGGCCAGGACCAGATGAAATGGACCTAGCAGGTCCCTCCAAGTAGCCGAAGTCGCAGGCTGCAGGCCAAGGGAAGGAATCACTGGGGTCTTTCAAGGTGAGGAGATGACACAATTTGAGCTGCAGGTTAATAAGAGTACAAATAAAACTACTGTCCAGAGTACAAATTCCAGTGGTTTTAAACAAACATCACTAGATAACTGCTGGACACCTAAGAAGTACTCAACAATTTGTTGAGTGAACAAAACATTGCAAGACCCAGACCAGAAAGATGTACTGAAAGATCCAGAGAACCGGTAGATTTGAGAGGAAATTGGGGAGATCAAGCAGATGTGGAGGAGGGGAATAAGCAAGGAAGAGGAAGGAGATGAGAAATCCAAGGGTGACTCTAGAGTTCACATTCAGCTAGTGGCATGATTCACAGGCATGTGATGAGCAAGGAGATATAAGAGAAAGAAGAGACAGACCACGGTGGTGGCCTGACCACATGGAAATCTATGCAGCTGAGGTCTCCACAGTAACCTGCCTGAGAATGGCTCTCAAAGATGGGTGGACATGCAAGTCTGAAAATCAGAAGCAAGACCTGGGCTGGAGGGGTATTTCTGGGAGTCATCTGTCAGCAGGTCTGAGATGAGCTAGGCAGATAAGAAGGGGAAGAACAGAGGGGAACTTAGACCGACCCTGCCGACCCTGGATGACAGCATATAAGTGGGGGGAAACAGAAACAGGGGCCTGCCATGGAGACTGGAGCAGAGGGGGTCCAGGAGGGCTGGCAAGGATGCCCAGGAGATGAAAACTTCCAGAAGACATGAGGCTGGTCAACGATGAGAAAATAGCACGGAGCTCAAGTAAGGTCAAGAACAACAAGGATGGATCATATTTACTAACAAGGTCAGCGACCACTCAGGTGAGAGAACTTAGTGTGTTGGGAAGGCAAAAGCCCAAGCAGATAAAAAGAACAAATGCACAGGAAGCCATGGACACAGGTAGAATAGACCACTCCTTACTCTTGCTCAAAGAGCAGGTGAGTGGGGAGAGAGGGCAAAAAGGGAGAGAGAAAGCAGGAAAAGAGGAGAAATAGGCAGATGCAAAAGAGAAGGTACTTTTTAAAGATGTGAGTGACATGAGCAGACATAGAGGCTGCAGGGAAAGATAATGGGAAGGGAAAACTCACTGAACACGGGAAAGAAGCCAAGTAGAGAGCTCACATGGGCAGCTGAGTGCGTTGCTGCCTCGTGGCTTCATGGATTCTCTCCAGCAGCCCTCATTATGGACTGTCTCATGATCAGAATACTACATGTGAGACAAGGATGAATGGAAAAGAGTGCTAAGGGGCTGGCAAGAACAGTAAGTGGCGAGCTACTGGGCCTTAGCAATTCAGGGAAGAAAAAAAGCCAAGAGGCCTCCTAGACAGAGTGGACAAGGAAGAGTCCACACTCCGGCAATCCTTGGAGGTGTGCAGGGAGCTACAGATTGAAGGGGTCATGGTATGGTGACCAAGAAGGAGCAGGCCTGGGAGATGGCAAACACCTGAGGACACTGGCTCACATAGGGCTGAGTAAGAGGGCTGGAGCTGACGAGAGCATAGAATTGAGAGGCTCACGAGAGAAGTGAGACAGGGCTTAGACATGAACATCCAAAGCTTCAGGTCCTGAGAATATCAGGGTTCACTCTGGGTCATGCTCTCAGCTACCTGTCCAACAGACACAGATATAAAGAAGGGAGTTGAAAAACTTCAAAGAGAACTCATCACGTAATTGGTACTATCCTAGATGCTTCCACATGTACCCTTTAGTTCTCTCTGAAAACCTCCTTAGTTGGCATTATTGCAGAAAACCTTCACCTATCATGTTTCCATTTTACAAATAAAGAAACTGAGGCTCAGAGAAATAAAGTAACTCTGCAGAGTTCATGCAACTGTTATGAGGTAGAAAGGGAATTTGAACTCACACTGTTTGGAACTAACAAAACCAACCATGTGGTTTTAGTTACACTTCTCTGGGGTGACCTAGTTCCACGTGATGCTAACGATGCAGTGAGGCCAGTGTCATTTCTCTGCCTTTAGTCTCCTCACCTGACAACAGAAGGGACAGACACCACTGGATTCCCATATGGGCCAAAGCAGATGGCCAAAACAAATGTCAATACCCATCCCAGTACCAAGTATTTATCCCGATACCCAGTCCATTGCAAAGTCCATTTTAAGTGACTGTCACTAATAAGGCTTCCAGACATAGACTCAGAGCTGCAATTTAAGCCACCTCATTATCAGAACCCAGAATGCAAAATTAGAAAATAAACAAACTGTCAAATTTGTTGCTTTACAAACTTTCACCACTTGCTAATAAGGAAACTCAGGAATCAAACAGATTTGAGGAGCATATACCCCTTACCCCTCAAACTCTGGCTGTGCAAACTCAGGAGTCACATGGATGACTCTGAGTGCATCAGAATCACTGATGTGCCTTTTGAGGAAATGTATATTTTGGGGCTCCATCTACAGGTTCCAATTCTGGCCCAAAAATCTTATATCCAACAAGCCTACTAGGAAATTCTGATGCAGGTGTTTCAAGAAACACGCTTTGAAAACATTGACATGTTCCTTCCATTCACTATAGTCTACCCATCTCAGCATTCATGTAATAAAGGAAGGGCTCTACATGGAAGATTCTGGAAAGATTTGTTGGTCAGCATGTCTTTTGCACTCACGTGGGAGAGATGGTGGATAATCAGTCAGCATGATAATTCTAATTTTGTGGCTGCTCTTCCCCCAATCATGGCAAAGGGATACCAGACATCATAGCTGGACAGCACTGGCCATGATGGCACCCAGTCACCTCTGTGCCAAGACCTAGTTAACCCAGTCAAATTGAGAGTGACAGGTGCCAATACAGGCTTTCCCACAGAGGGAACCTCCAGTACCAGCAAAGTGAGCATTCTGAGCTGCTCACGAGTTGCCCATATCCTACAATTGAAGAATTGTAACTCACATTAAACAGCATCTTCCATGAGTTAGGGACATTGAACCAGACTCCTTCCTCTCCCCCATCCCTCCTGTAGCAAGTCACCAAATCTCTGGATTCTCCCTTCTCTGAAAGTTTAAACACTAGCCAGGAGACTCTTGATTCACCCAGTACTGTCCATGTCCTACAGAACACGCCCTACCCAGCACTTGGCACAACACCATGCATAAAAGTTCTTAATAAAACATTATAAATGGAGTAGTGGATGTTGTACTGAAGAAATTGGATTGACCAATGACATAAGTGCCTGATACATTCTGGAAATATGTCTTTGGTACCTGAAAGTCCACAGGAATTGGGCCATAGGGTATACTGATGTTTAAGGCTTGGACATCTTCCCGCTGCCTGATGTCCATCCACGGGTTGTAGGCTACAGGAGGTAGGCCATCAGGGACCTGGGGATCAGGAGCCAGGGTGATGTTCTCCAAGGGGTACAACTTCTGAAATTCCTTTGGGAAAAACAAACACAGAGCCACAAGGTTGTCACTCTGTTGGCAATGGCACAAGGCTGTGGCTCTTCAGGTGTTTATGTGGCCTTTTCTCTAAGCCTGAGATGTATTTACATCATGGCTTACTAATGACCCCCAGGTACTCATTCCCCTCCTGAAGTCAGGCCTTAGGTCACCCTCATGAGATGCAAAAAGCAATGAAATCATGCAACTTTTATTTCCTAGGGAACAAGCAGTGGTATATCTCTTCCCTCATGTGGGCAGATGTCCTTCTGTTTCGGTCCTATCTCACTTCCAACCCATGAAAGTGTGCTGAGGTGTTCTGGGTTCTCCAAACCACTCTCAGGCCCAATAATTCATTATAACTCACAGGACTCAACATATAGCCACACCCACCACTATGGTGTATTACCATATACAATCAGCAAAGGGGAAAAGCTCATGGGGCAAAATCTGGAGGAAAACAGTAACAAGTTTCTAGAATCCTCTCCCCCAAAAGTCACATAGAATGCACCTTCTTGTCCCAATAATGAGGTGTATGACAACATGTATAAAATGCTACCAGAAAGGGAAGTCTATTAAAGCCTCAGCACCCAGTGTGGTTTGGGCCTGATCACATAGGCACTCTCAACCTGGAACACACCAAAAGTCTGGGCTCCCAAAAGGAAACCAGGGGTTCAGCGTATACCTTAATGTTTGCCTAAACAGTTTAGGCATAGTAAGCCACACTTATGAGTTCTGGGAATGGTGGCAACACTCCCAAAATCAAAGTTCCTAAATGCCTACCAAGGGCCAGCCTTATAAGCAGGTCTTTCAAAGGCTCATGGCTAGGATAGCTTTGAGAACTCCTTTCTGCAAAGCAGCAGAAGAGGCAAGTCTCTTAATTCTATCAAGAGGGTTGGTAGTTCCTGACAGGAAGGCATGATACCCTAGGCCAGTCAAAACAAGATACTTGCAACATCAAAGAATATACCTTCTGGTCTCTACTCTTATTACAAGTAAGGGGCCGTCTTTGTGAAGTCAAAAAAGCTGAGCTGCTCAGGCCCAAGGAAAACACAATAAATAAAACTGAAAAAGATTATTAAAAGGAAATTACTACATGCTCTAAGTGATTGGATTTAAGGCAACAGGATTTGAGGTTCCAACAAGCAATGCAGTGGTTATAGGATCTAATCTGACAGGCTCATGGGGGTAGAAGAAAAGGGAGTTGGTGAAGAGAGCTTCAAATTCCCTGGAACTGTGTCCTGAGGACTATCCCTTATTATAGGTTTTTAGTGGCTTTGGCTCAGTTATCTATGATCATAATCCCACCCAACATTTGAACATTGAGTTCAATGAAAGGAAATAAAATCCTCCAGGGGAGAGAAGTAGAAAGCCAAATATTTCTTGTAAGATCCTTACATGTTTTCTAAGACTACTTGTCCTTGAGATCTGACTTCTGTCTTCACTCCACTATGCATACTAGGTAGCTCCTATCAGGCATCCCTGGTAACTGGGGATGGCAGGATGTAGCCAGCTTCACTACACAAATCCCTTCCTCAACAAATAACAAAGTTGTAGTAGCTGCTAGATCAGCCCTCAGCCAGCTCTTCACCTTGGGGTATCTGAAGGGGATGTGTGGCTTATGGTACCCAACAGCCAGGAAGAAAGGACTGCCAGTTGTTTTCATCTTTTCCAACAATCGTATGGCTTGCTCAGTGCTCTGTTTGTCAGGCAAGGTGCCCTCGGGCACATCCACTATATCCACAGGACAAAGCAGGTTGGCATGAAGTTCTCCGTCTTGTCCCCTACATGTCTTTCAAAACAAAATTATGTAACATCAGATTTTTAAATACAAGAAAAAGAAATCATGAAGGTTACATACAGAGACTTAATGTTCATATCACCAGTCCCTTAGCTGTTAGTCAAACAGAGTGAAGAGGCATATCAGAAGTAGAACTAAACCAGAGAGGTAACTCTTTTCCGGGCAGGAGCCAGAAATCCACAGCACTTAAGCTTCTTACTGCTATTTCTCTATCTCCAAGCCATAACTCATTATTAAAAAAAAAAAACAAGTAAACTAATTATAGGAAAAATTCTATATCCAACTCAACAATGAAAAGTAAATAAGCCAATTAAAAATGGGCAAAGGACTCTAACAGACATATTTCCAAAACAATATACAAATGGCTAACAGCACATGGAAATATGATTAACATAATTAGTCATTAGGGTAATGCAAATGAAAACCACAATGAGATACCACTTTACCCACAAGGATGGCAATAAGTTTTAAAAACAGAAAATAGCAAGTTTTGGCAAAGATTTAGAGAAACTGAAACCCTCATACATTGCTGACAGAAGTATACAATGGTACAGCCGCTTTGAAAGATAGTTTGTCAATAATTCCTCAAACACTTAAACATATTTGTTATATAATCTAGCAATTCTATCCCTAAGTATATACCCAGGAAAATGTTTCTAAATGTCTGCAAAAATATGTGAATATTGATAGCAACATTATTCCTAACACCCAAAAAGTGGAAAGAACTCAAATATCCACTAAGTGATAAATGGACAAAAAAAAATGTGATATTATGGAATGCTATGTACTTATATAAAGAATGGTACATACTACTATATGGTTGAACCTCAAAAACATTATCCTAAAATAAAAGAAGCTAGATATATGTGGTTATATTTTATATGATTCTATTTATATTAAATAGGTAAATCTACAGAATAAGAAAGTAAATTAGTTGATGTCACAGGCCAGAGATTGGGATGAAATATGGAGTATCTGGTAATGGGAACAGAGTTTGTTTCAGGGGTAATGAAAATGATCTAAAATTGATTTGATTAACAACTATACAACTTTGTAGATACACTAAAAAAACAAGAGTTAAAATAGACAGTTTTTATATCATCTTCTGAGAAGTCTCTGTTCAGGTCCTTGGCCCACTTATTGATTAGGTTTTTTTTTTTTTTTTTGGTGCTTAGCTTTTTGAGTTCTTTATAGATCCTAGAGATTAGTGCTCTATCTGATGATGTAGGCTCTCTATTCACCTCACAGGTTGTTTCTTTTGCTGAGAAGAAACCTTTTAGTTTGAATCTATCCCATTTATTGATTCTTGCTTTTAATTTTTGTACTATAGGAGTCTTATTAAGGAAGTTGGGGCCTAATACCACATGATGAAGATTAAGGCCTTCTTTTTCTTCTATTAGATGCAGTCTCTGGTTTCATTCCTAGGTCCTTGATCCACATTGAGTTGAGTTTTGTGCATGGTGAGAGATAGGGGTTTAATTTCATTTTGTTGCATATGGATTTCCAGTTTTCACAGCACCATTTGTTGAAGAGGCTATTTTTTCTCCAACATATGTTCTTGGTGCCTTTGTCTAATATAAGATAATTGTAATTTTGTGAGTAAGTCTCTGGGTCCTCTATTCTGTACCAATGGTCTACAAGTCTGTTTTACTGCCAATACTATGCTGTTTTTGTTATTATTGTTCTGAAGTATAGCTTAAGGTCTTGTATAGTGATGCCACCTGCTACACTCTTCCTGCTAAGGATTGCTTTAGCTATTCTGGGTCTCTTATTTTTCCAGATGCATTTCATGATTGCCTTTTCTATTTCTATGAGGAATGCCATTTGGATTTTGATTGGAATTGCATTAAATCTGTATAGTGCTTTTGGTAGTATGGTCATTTTGATAATATTAATTCTGCCTATCCAAGAGCAAGGTAGATCTTTCCATCTTCTAAGGTCTTCTTTGATTTCTTTCTTTAGGGTACTGTAGTTTACACTGTATAGCTCTTTCACCTCTTTTGTTAAGTTGATTCCCAAGTATTTTTTTTCAGGCTACTGTAAATGAGGTAGTTTTCCTCATTTCCCTTTCAGAGGCTTTGTCACTGATATACAGAAATGCCTTCAGTTTATGGGTGTTGATTTTGTGGTTTTTATTTATTTTTTTAAATATTTTTTAGTTGTAGATGGACACGATAACTTTTTATTTATTTTTATGTGGTGCTGAGGATAGAACCCAGGACCTCACACGTGCAAGGCAAGTGCTCTACCACTGAGCTACAACCCCAGCCTCGGGTGTTGATTTTATATCCTGCTACTTTGCTGAATTCATTTACTAGTTCTAGAAGTTAGCCAATCTCCAAAAAAACAATTGCCAAATGTTTTCTCTGATATAAGGAGGCTGATTCATAGTGGGGTAGGGAGGAGGAGCATGGGAGGAATAGACAAACTCTAGATAGAGCAGAGGGGGTGGGAGGGGAAGGGAGGGGGCCAGGGGTTAGCAAGAATGTGGAATGTGATGGACATCATTATCCAAAGTACATGTATGAAGACACGAATTGGGTGTGAACCTACTTTATATACAGAGATATGAAAAATTGTGGTATATATGTGTATTAAGGATTGTAATTCATTCCACAGTCATTTATTTTTAAAAAATCAATTAAAAGCTTAAAAAAAAAACAAAAAATAAATAAATAAGAGACAGTTTTTTTTTTCTTTCTGTAATCCCAGCAACTCAGGACCCTAAGGCAGGGAGGGGATGGCAAATCCAAAGCCAACCTCAGTAACTTATCAAATCCCTGTCTCAAAATAAAATAAAAAGGGCTGGGGATATACCTCAGTAGTAAGGCACTCCTGGGTTCCATACCCTGTTCTGTAAAAATAAATAATATAAAATAAAAGGGACTTTTATGGTATATGAATTATGCCTCAATAAGAAAAAAAACCTTAAATTTCAAAGACAGAGTTAGGCTTGTGAGCAATAGGGTCCACATTAATTAGATAAGGTAACAGTTCAAGGAATTTCCATATCCTTAGCTTTACCACACACAGAATGAAACCACTTCATTTTCCAAAGCAGCCACACTGGCTACAAAGCCAAAGTCTGTTTTGATCATGACTTCCAAATCACAAAGACCCATGAGCTATGTCAGCTACTGCCCCATCTCAAAGACCTGTGTCCTTTCATAGCTCTGCCCTATACATTGAGGATTCTTTTTCTTTAATGCTCTAAAATGTTAAAACCTCTATTGGATTTTTCAGCAGCTGAACACCTGCACTAGGCCCAAGACAGGCATACAGACAGCATGCCTTTGTACCTTAGGTTCTTAGAGCTCTTATCTCCTTTCTCCCTCTCATGTCTCAGTACCTTCTATAATCCTTAGCTCAGAGCCTCATCTGGAGTAAGTGTCAAGGAGCAATTAAGTGAGTTTGACACACTACAGCCTAAGGTTCTACAACAAGGAGTACCTATCAGCTTCTAGAATGAAGCCACTGCTCCCATTGGTCCTAATGCTAAAAATGCCAACTTTAGTCTCTGACAAGACATTAACATAAGTGAAACCCACAAAACTCGTGTCAAAACCAGCTTAGAAGAATAAGGAGTGCTTCCTCCCCAGATAAGTGACCCTTTCATAACCTTACCTTAGTGTTCTCATACTTCTCTGAGGAAGGATGATAAGGTGGAAAAGACCAGCTATATGGAGAATCATCACTATGATTGGAAGATATACCTTGAAGGAGGAGAAAAAGAAAGTTGTTAAATAAAATATAAAGGGTTTTTAGTGCCTTGTCTTTCAAAATTAAAATTTTGTAAAAACTGGGGAAGTAGAACTTTCCTTCTTGGACCACAGTCCCCTCTTCTGTAAAATTAAGGAACTGAGGTGAGATAAAGAGATATCCCCACCAACAAGAACTATATAGGTCTCCATTTAAATAAGGAATGTCTGACTTCCTGTCCAGAATACCTGGAGATTTGTAGTAGGCTCTGTGGAAGTGATTCACAAGGAAAAAAATCAGTCAGGCTGTTACAGCAGCACACTTCCTTAAAACCCACATTGGAGCCCCTCCCCACCCTTTGTAGGAAGTAGCAGAGCAACCTCCCCACCATGAGGCAAATAGGAAAAGAGAGGCTCAGAGGTCTGTACCTTGCCCAGTGCCAATCAGACATCAAGTAAGTAAGCTAGAACTCAAACCCATTCCTTCAGACTCCAAATTCAAGTGCTCAGTTTTGAAGCACAAACCCACCCCTAAGCTTAGAAGCTTACAGTCTACCAAAGGACAGACTGACAGTTGACAAAAGTACTGAAGTACTCTGAAAGGGAGCCCTAAGACACAGAAGTGATGTGGGTCTGGTGAAGGTTGGCAAGGAGGGTCTTTAGAAGTCAGCAAGGATTGCAAGGGATCTGAAGGGAAGTGACACCTGTGGTGGTTATCCAGGAGGAGCAGAAAGGACATCACAGCCAAGACCATGGGAGAAAGGGCATCCCTAGCAAAGGAGAACACTGGAGCTTCAACAAGGAGCACCAGAGGACACAGGACTGGAGGGCGGGGTGCTGGGTGAAGGGCCCAGTGACACAAAAAGCATGGTGAAAAGAGCACACAGGAGGCTAACAGACCTGGGGTTGAATCCTGACACTGTACCTTAGCATCTATGCCTGCTTGGGAAAACTACTTGTGCAAGCCTCAATTTCCTCTTCAGGAAATGATAAAAATATACCTTGTTTGCTACTGAGAGGATTATGCTAGAGGCCAACATAGTAAATGGCATGTACTTGGCACTCAGTGGTGGGTACTGCCATCCTTGAGCAAGCCCAATTCTAATAGAACAGGTGTTGAGAACAGACCCCACTGAAAAAATGTATTTAACAATGGACCACAAGCAAGCTTTTGGGATCTAAGTTGGGCATCACATTCAGAGCCCAAAGCCAATCATAAGGAAGGAGGCCAAGCAATTCCACTCAGGCCTTTGGCCTTCCTTCCAGAAGCCCAATCTCCTGCCTCTGATGTATTTCCTTCTCTCTCCAAAAGTATAACTTCCCTCCCAGCTGCCCTTAGGCAAAGAGCATTGTGATGTGACTATCAAACTGCAGAAACTGACTGATATTGAACTTTTGACTGGAAAATATGATTCATGGCAGATTTACTTTCAAAATGGGCCTGACTTAGCCCAGCTTAATGCTATCCCCAATCTAGACTAGCCAACTAGTCTCTGGGAGAAGACTGCCAAGCCTGCTAATATAACTGGTACACAGAGAAAGCCACTGCAAATGTTCACATTTTCACCCTGCCCCATGAAAAGTACTACGAACCCTATGGAGCTCTTGCTTTCAATTTCCTTCCATACTTACAACCTACCTACATTGGGATACTCCTCTGGGAAGGTCAAGATAGCTTTAACTTAAGCTTTTTAGATAAGGATTCCAAGGCTTAAAGAGGATAAACAATTTTCCAATGTAAGCCATAAAGCTAAGAAGTAGTAGTGCTGAGACTAGAACCCAGGTGCCCAAAATCCTCTTACTAGTGCCAATAAGCAGTTCAATCTGCTTCTAGAGATGGTCATCCCAATGAAAACCTAAAAAAAAAGTGGTACAAAAAATAGTACAGTATGTTAGACTGCTATGCTGTCATTAAAAATGACTTTTAGAAAACATTATGGGAAAATGTTTAAAATAACTCAGGATATAAAAATGCATATACAAGCTAAATCAGGAAAAAATAATATGCCCAAAATAAGAACATTAAAATGCAGCCTCTCTTGGGATGCCGAAATCAAAAGTGATCTATATTCTTTAGTTTACATTTTCCATTTTTGTCAATCATTAATTGTTTCTACAAATAAAAATAGTTTTGTTTAGGCCCTCATCATTTTAATTTTGGCATGAGAGCCTGTGGCATTAAAGCCTGTGTTGCCAGGCATGCACGTGTATAATTCCAGCAACTCACAAGGCTGTGGCAGGAAAATCCCAAGTTCAAGGCCAGCTTCAGTAACTTAGTGAGGCCTAAGCAATCGAGTGAAACCATGTCTCAAAATAAAAACATAAATGGGCTGGTGATACAGCTCAGTGGTAAAGTGCTCCTGGGATCAATCCCCCAAACCAAAAGAGAATGAGAGAGAGAACACCAGTGTTCCAAGTCAGGACTGGTGGTCCCTGGCACTCTACAGGTTCTGGGTGGTACCTTATACTCCTACTCTGACATTGGTCACTGAGAGTGGGAAGTAGGACACAGCAAACTACAGTACCTTCACCACACAAACAAACACAGCAGTACTATTCACAAAGAAATTCCTGAGATGTGCATGCCCCACCCATACCTTCACAGACAGGGACCTCACAGGGCAGAGAGTCAGTCCGGAGCTGAACTCACACCCAACACTGCCACCTCCCCACCCAGTGTGCCCTTCCCACCACCCGAGGAGCCAGAGGAGGCCCCAGAGCACCACCTCCAGCCTCTGAAAGGGAGCCAGACTCTTTCTACCCTCTTTTCACTTTGACTGAGAACTGAAGCCAAGCTGAGAAGTGGTTTTTCTAGAAAGGCAGCAGTGTAAGCATCCAGGCAGAAAAGGTGTCTGCAGAGACAGCCTCATGCCCAGCAGGGGATTCCCACACTCAGCACAGAATAAGAGAACTCAGACTTTGGGCATGGAGCAGTACCAGGGTGAAAGACTTTTCCAACCGACATGGTCAGGTAGCCATTCTCCTTGAAGTACTGGGGGATGGTGGAGAAGTTTCCTGCGTGCACCCTCCAGTAGGAGTTGAAGTCATACAGGCGCGTGGTGTCAGGCCTCCTCCCAGTGAGGAAGGACACGCGGCTCGGGGCGCACACTGCTTGCTGTTAGGGAGCAGAAGCAGAGGTCAACATCATCACAGTATAATGTGTCTGCCATCTCCAGGGTAACCAAGCAACCTCCCCAGGTCCTCAGCAACAGCCTGGTGGCTGAGTCATGCAGATCTCAAAGCCACACAGTGGGATTTGGGCCTCACCCAGGTGCCAGAGATTGCATCCTCCTGGCAAGACAAGGCAGAAGTCAGCCCCTCAAACAAGCAGATGCTTGTATCTTCCAATGAGACAGTGTCCCCAGTCACCCCAAGGGAGCAATATGCTTGGAGGCAGCTCCAAGAAGGGGCTCGTGGAGGAGGGCTACCATGCATGGCTAGTTGGCTGGCCCTTGCCCATGGGTGGCATTCTATAGTACCAAGCCATCGCCCCTACCAGGAGAGAGCTGGCCAAGGCCCTGAGCATGTTAGGGCCAGGATACCCTCCACCCAATGAAGTGAGGTGGCCTTGAAGGCACAAGATTCCTTAAGTGGATAATCACATTTCTTGGACCACAATTTTCCAGAATATGCTTCCCTCTTTCAGGCAGGTATCTGGCACACTCAGTACCACCAAACAGTAGCTGAAGGGACCCCAACCCTCAGTGCACAAGGAGGCACACCTCCTTAACTAGAAGTCCCCAGACTTACCTGGGCAAAGGCATTCTGGAAGAGGAGACTGTGGGATGCCAGCTGGTCGATATTCGGGGACCTCACTAGCTTATCCCCATAACAGCCCAGGGATGGGCGCAGGTCATCCACGATGATGAGAAGGACATTCAAAGCACCTGCACAGGAGGGAGGGGCTTAGTGATGTCATGTGCAGGGATGCTGAAACTCCTCATCCTGTGGTACTGAGAGACTCAAGCCTGGCCCCTGCACCTTTATAATGCAGCTAGGATGGGGACAATCAAGGCTGTGTCTCAGCCTGGGTTGGAGTGGGGTGTAAAGAGGAAGCCTGGATTCTGGGTAGTAGGGTTGGGCTTGGCCATAATTTCAAGCCTAGAATACAGAGAGGGGTGGGGTACAGAGTTTAAGGGGAGAAAGGATCGGTGAAGGGATAGAAGGCAAGAGAGAAAGAGAAAAATGAAGGAATGTGAAGAGGGAAGGATAGAGGAAGGGAAGGAAAAGGAAGAATGAAATGACAGAGTTGGAAGGAGAGAGGAAGGTAAAAGGATGGATTAATGGAGGGATGGAACAATGGAGGAAAAAAACAGAAGGATGCATAGGGGGAAGGAGGTAGAACAGATGGATGGAGGCATGAACAGATGAAGGAAGGAAAGAAAGATGGAAGGTTAGAAGGAGTGAAAATGGGGGAGGGGGCTAAGAAATAGGAGAAAGATGGATGGTTAGAAGGAACTGTTAGGAGGGAGAGGGAGGCAAGGATGGATGTGAGCCGGGAAGGAGGGAAGAATGGAAGGGAGGCGGGAGGGCGGGTGCGGAAGGCACCTGTGGCAGAGTTGGCCTGCACTGAGGCTTCGAGGACGGTGCCGATGGAGACCAGGACCAGGCCGAGCCTGAGCAGGCGCCAGCCCGGCGGAGACGGCGGCAGCATTCTGCTTCCGCGTAGCAGCTCAGGGTAGCAATGACAGTCTGAAGCTGGAAGGCGGAACTGCTGCCGCTGCCGCCACAGGTGCCTTGTTGGGAACCAGCAAAGACAGCGCGACGCGCGGGGCGCCGCGGGCCCAGAGGCCCCGGCTACCGCCGCAGTGCGAGTGCGCCTGCGCGCCTCGTCCCTGCCCCACCCTCCGCGCAGCTGGGAGGCCCTGAGATCCCAGCGAGTGATCCCGTGATCCCAGCCACAGTAGGCGGGGCCAAGGGCAGAGCCTAAGCCTCCCAGCTACCTGCTGGTTTTGCCCATCCACAGACCAGCAGACCTGTCAACACAGGCCTCAGTAGACAGCAGCTGCGAGAATCTTTGGAGGTGCTGTGAAGGTTTTGAGACTCAAATATTGTCCTCAACTAGCAATTTCCTGCCTCTCTCTGCTTTTGCTCTTGCTACGCACTTCCCCCATCTCTGTATGAATGTCACACTTTTCCTTACAGCCCCGCCCCAACACTGTTCTTCAATGAGTCCTTTTGAGAACCGCCTTCCTCCATCTATAAGGATCCTCTTTCCTATTCTTTTGTTCAATATTTAGTAAGCAACACAAATATATACACCAGATACTGTTGGTAGTGCTGGAGTTCTAAGTCCTGCCATTATAGAGCTTAAAACAACAAATAAAAAAAAAACATGCAGAATGTTGGTGGGCATACCTGGTTTGGAAAAAATAAAAGTGGGGCTAAAGGGTGCTTGTTATTTTCTATGCAGTGGCCAGGCAGGGCCTCACTAGGAAAATGATATTTAAACAAAAGCTTACAGGAAAGGAGCAAGCCCCATTGTTGTCACAGGAAGGATAGTCCAAGCAGAGGGAGCAGCAATTGGGGGGAACATGCTTGCCAGTGTTAGATGGCATAGAAGCAGTAGTGGATGGCCTGGGGAAAGCAGCTGGCAGAGTGCAAAGGAGATTTGAGGAATGTGAGTCTTATGCCCTGTAGCAAAAATCATTCACTGTCCACATTGGCTGAAAGTCAGGACAGACAGTAAGCCTCTCTCTACCGCACTCAGAGCTTCTGGAAAAGTGGACCCTCCATCTTTAACTTACCTCCAATCCTCTAGTAAGATAACTTAGCTCAATGCTAAGTAAACCAGACACTTCTCCTGAATGCATGAATGCAGAAGTATTAGTTTTGTTATTGGGGGCTCCTATAGCCCAGGCACCATGGTAAACTAAAAGCAATAGTTTTTCTCCTTATAGCAACACCATGAGCTAGATGCTAGTAACATTCCCATTTTATGGATCTAGAAATTAAGACTTAATTAAAATTAAATCACTTGATCAAGGACACACAGCCAGGAAATGGAGGACAAGGTGGCTCTCCATTGAGAGGCATATCTCCTCAGAAGGTAGCCAGGGCATGGCCATCACACATGCCTTGCTGCCATTGCTAATGCACCTGCTTTGCTGTTTCAGGCACAAGAACTGATAGCTTTTCACACTGCAGCCTTGCAGGTTTCTCCTTGGGAAGGGCCAGTCTATGTCTGCAGTCCTCAAGCCAAAGCATAAGAAGATCCTCAGGTTGGGTCAGCTCTAGCCAAGGGCCTAAACTGCCAGGTCTTAGACACTTCAGCTATACCTCATCATCCTAACACTTTTCCTTCACTGAGGACAGTTCACGGTCCCTTCTAAAACAACAGCCCTAATGATTCAGGAAACACTGTGACAAAAAGAACTCCAATAGATCTTTAGAAAGTTTGCTTTCTTACCTTTTTTTTTCTTTCTTCATCATCTGTAATACCTTCTTACTAGCAATAGGCACTTCCTTTGAGCCTACAAGCTAAGGGTCTTATTGTATCATTCTCGCCCTTATTGAAAGTCATTTAAAAAACTAATAATTCTATAAACCCCAGGATGCTCAAAGAAGGGAATGAGGCAAAAAGGTAAACACAGTTCCTGCTTCTAAAACTACGTTCAGTTCTTTTTGTGGATTCATTTCTAGTTGGCAAATAAGTTTCCTGAATATCACCCATCCACATATGGGGTACATTGAAGATGTCTCCTTTCCCTCGGTCTTTTTTCCGATTATGGCCATGGCTCAAATGAGGACAGCTCTATAACTGAGACTGAACTTGCAGGGCAATGAGAGGGGTTTGAGGGTTAAAATGCAAAAATAGATGGTGATAATCGTGCAGTAGAAATGAAAAACAAAGCTGAAGAGAATCACATAGTTCAGTTTAAGAAACACAAATGTCCCAGCTTGGCTATCGACACCCTAGCCTTGAATGTTTCCCGCTATTGAAAGGGCAACGCTGATATGTTTACAAAGTACTTAAATATTCATTCCAACAGACTGGGATATGAAACATCCCCACCCAAATATCAGCAGTATTCACACAATAACTTCCTTTCATTGAATATTTTTAAGTGTGAAATTCACAAAAAACTAAAATATTTAGCTGAAAATATCATAAACTCAAGCCTCTATTTTCATATTTAATGCCTCAAGATTGGCGCTCCTTCATACCTCAGTTCTCACATGAGATTTACTAGGAATATTCAAAGCAAACAATCTCAATCTTTCTATAAAAATGTATATAAATAATATCAAACAAATTTCTAAAATATTAAATAATTAATGATCAGTTCCTTTTCAGTACAAATCAATGTGCCAAAATATGCATGCACTTACTACCTCTTGTGAGTTGAATTTATCAGAAAGCTGACTCTGAAAGAGTTAAGCATGCAGGATGTTGTTATGGAATGCCTTTGGAAAGAACACCTGTGGAAGGAAAGGAAGGGAAGCAAGATTAGCAGAGGAATCAGTCAAACTGTAATATGGGCCATGGCTTACCCCATGGTGAAATCTAATGATTGAATAGCCCTTCAGAGTTGTCCTGAGTTAGGCTGAGATGGCCAAACATTTATAAACCACCTTGATAAGTCATTGCATACGAATACCCCCAGAAAATGTCTGATCTTAGGCAAGGTGGCTTTCTGGAACTGAGGCAAGTCCTGAAGAGAGGGAAAGCAGAAGGCTGTCTTCCCAGGCTTCCCAGCAACTGAGGCAAAAAAGTCTACATTGAAAGAGGGGTCAAGGTGGCAAAGCTCTATGTTCAACATTTCTTTTCCTCTATTTAAAATAATCATGAAGAAGCTAGGGACAGTGGCACACACCTGTAATCTCAGCAACTTGGGAGGCTGAAGCAGAAGGGTCACAAGGCCAGCCTCAGCAACTTAGCATAACGTTGTCTCAAAATAAAAAAGGCGAGGTATGTAGCTCAGTGGAAAAGCACCTCTGGATTCAATCCCCAGTACCAAGAAAATAAAAAATAAAAATAAAAAGGAACAAAAATAACATAAATTGACAGAAAGAAAGAGAGTAGATGCTCAAAATCATGAATTCTTGGGGAAATGCAAATCAAAAACACAATGATAACACCAAAAATCAAATAACTCAGGGCTAGGAATATAGCTCAGTCGGTAGAGTACTTGCCTCACATACATAAGGCCCTGGGTTCAATCCCCAATACCACAAAAAAATCAAATAACTCAATCAATAAATAGGCAAATGAACTAAACACATTTCTCAAAAGGAGAAATTCAAATGACCAATAATTATAAGTAAAATGTTCAACATCTTCAGCAAACAGGGAAATGCAAATGATCAAGAATTATAAGAAAAAAATGTTCAACATCTTCAGCAAACAGGGAAATGCAAGTCAAACCAACCCTAAGATTCCATCTCAGTTCAATTATAATGGCAAGTATAAATATATTATAAATATAATATAATAAATACTGGTGAGGATGTGGTAAAAAAGGAATACTTTTTTCCTGTTGGTGGTATTATAAATTAATACAACCACTATGGAAATCTATATGGAGCTTCCTCAAAAGACTAGAAAAGGAAAGATTATATGACCCAGCTTAATCACTCCTAGGTATTTATCTGGAAGGATTAAAATCGGCATACTACAGTGATATATGCATATCCCATAACAGCACAATTCACAATAGCCAAATAATGGTACCAGCCTAAGTGTCCATCAACAAATTAATGGATAAAGAAAATGTGGTTTGTATACACAATGAGTTTTATTCATCCATTAAAATAATGCAAGTATGTCATTTGTAGGAAAATGGATAGAACTGGAGAACATTATGCTAAGTGAAATAAGCCAGATCAGAAAGAAAATGGTCAAGTGTTTTCTCTCATATATGGAAACTAGAAATAAAAAAGTTTGTTTTTTTTTTTAAAGTGGGGGGTCACATGAAAATAGAAGGAAGGCCAGTGGAGTAGAGGAAGGGAGTGAGGAAAAACAAAGAGAGAAAGGAAAGGGGGAAGTAGTGGGGAAAGTTGATCAAATAATGCTATGTGCATGTACAAATATGCCAAATCCAACTATTATTAAAAATTAGAATGCACAAAAAATGTTTTTAAAAAGCACAATGAGCTAGGTGTGTTGGCACATGCCTATAATCCCAGCAATTTGGGAGGTTGAGGCAGGAGGATTAAAAGTTCAAGGCCAGTCTGAGTAACTTAGCAAGACCCAGTCTCAAAACAAAATTTTTAAAAAGAGCAGGGGATGTAGCTCAGTGCTTACCTAGTATGTGTGAGGCCATAGGTCCAATCCCAGTAACAAAAAAGAAAAAGAGAAAGAAAGA